AAATGGGCACCACTACCCATCATGCAGAGATGAAAAGACGATTTCTCCACATATGTACACCTTTATACAGTAAAATACAATTACACAATTATGTACATAATACTTGAGCATTGCTGCTATCCTCAACAGGTCAGTTGTGTGACTCAGTGGCAGATGTCTATACCACACCAATCACTCTGCACATGAGACACAATTGTTAGTCTAAATGGAATGATCATGTTAGTCTAAATGGAAGGGAGGAGCCATACTAAGGGTCTTGTAGTGGATGTGGACATTAATGTGTGCCTTAGCCATCCACACTTGCTTGCTCTTGAAGTCAAGAGCAATAGAAGGACCCTCCTGTCCATGGGGTCCCACTTGATGTTGCAGGCACCAGTTGCAGCTTTGATCACGTCCTGCAAGAACTGATTTGGAGGAGCAGCCCAGTCCAGCAGATTGCAGAGGCACTGCTTGAGCCTGTCTCTGTTGTGGTGGATCACTGCAGTGTAGCGCACCATGCCACTCCAAGGAAGCACAGCACCATTCATGGAGGCAAGCCATTCTTGTTTACCTATAGACTCATGCATGGTTAGTACAAAAATAAAGGGAAGAGTGAATGCAATTGTACCACTGGTTACACATGAGGCCATTTGCTTTGGGGCCTTGTGTGCACATTGCATTAGAACTCACTTTCAATCACTCTTCCAATTTTGTGTGGGTGCAATCTCACAGACCAAGTCAATATTGGCCTGGGTTGGCTCATCATCATCCACAACCACCAGCTGGGTTGACAAACACCCAGTCGACCTGGCCTTGCCCAGTTCAAGCAACATGTCATCTTCAAGCATCACTTCATGTGTGGGCAGCTGGCATTGCATAGTGGCATCACCAACACAACCAGAATTGGGCTGGCGCTCCTGAAGTGTCAACAAGGTACATGGCCACAGTCTTTTATCATCACATCCAGCAACGGCCAGAAGCTCACATTGTGTCCCCAGGGAATCACACTTGCACTTACACAGGAGCATTTCCTCCAAAGACGCCACCATCACCAGTTGGCTGCAGAGCGACAATTCAAGCTCTGGGTCCTCAGAGGCCTCCAAGTCCTCCTCAACAGAACAGCTCAGTGTCAACTTGGCCAGCTTGGCAACCACATCATATGAACCTGGGCCAGTGCACCACACTCCATTCAAGTTCTGCAATAGAGAATGCAGACTCAACTAAAAAGTTGTCCATCAGTGACTGCACAAGAAGAAGATGAACAAAAACAAAAGATGTACCAGAGAGCTTGTTTTGGGAGGCAGTTGTGGAGCCCACGCCTCAACATCCTTTGGGTGCAGGTCAGGTTGGCTCAAAGCTTCACCCTCATCACCAATCCCACTGACCTGCACAAAGGGGAAAAAAAGGTCTACAAAGATTCAAACAGGCTGTGGTGTCACAGGATTCTACCTGCTCCTCTTCCTGCCTGTCTTTGTCTTCATCTACCCACTTGTCTTTGTCTTTGTCTACCCACTTGTCTTCCTCCTTGTCTACCTGCTTGTCTTCCTTTTCATCTATCTCTTCGCCTATCTGCAATCCTTCCCTTTTTGGAGCCTGGAAAAAGAGAAGATGAGAATTGTCTAAAAAGATATCACTAAGCTCATGTACCAGACTGGGGAAGTCAACATACTTGAAGAGACTTGAGCCTTTGGTTCCAGGCTTGGCAATGCAAGCTCCCTTCAAGTTGACATCTCACCACCACTTCACAGATCTCTGTGAATGGCCTGGCTCCATGTTCAGATGGTCCAGGTCTGTGATGGTGTACTTGTTTGCAGCTCTGAAGCCCATGTGCATGAGCCAATCCCTGAAGATACCATTGCCTGCACAGGAGAGAGGATTAGGACCAGTTGACCACAACACAATGTGCAAGGTGGTGTACTGGCTATTTTCTCCTTGGGTTGAGATTCTCAAATGCACATGCAAGCAAAAGCTGCAGCAACTCAGTCACATGCTTCCATCACTGGCACACCTAAACAGAAACTGTTGTGAGTGCAACAATTCACTAATAAAGCTAAAATAGGAATACCATACCACTGGAATGAATTTCTTCCAAATGTAATCAAGAGCCTTGGCCAACAACTTGACCTTGTCCTTCTCCTCAATGCTCTTGATGAGCGCCAGCCAAAGCTTGTTCCCATCACCTTGGTCCCCCTTTGCAATGTCAAAGTAGATGTGGGCCACCTCCTCATGGACTTG